GAATATAAGCTCCTCAAGAGTAGGGATTATTTTTGACTTTCTTTGTATTCCCAGCACTTAGCACAAGGCTTGCACATTGTAGGTGCCAAATAAATGCTTCCTGATTTCCTTTACTCTCCTCTTCCTTCTTTCCTTTCCATCCTTTCCATCCCTCCCTTCCTTCATTCCTTTCTTCCCTATTTCCTTCCTTCCCTTCCTTTCAACATAAATCTAGAAATCACATTTCTTTTATTTCTTCAATATCACCAGCTTAAATGACAGCATAAAATGCAGATGACTAACTTGAAAATATTCTGCAATTTTCTCCTCCTAAATTATAAAATACTGTCAGGTATTCAAGTCTCTTGGAGCTTAATAAATACTTTTGTGCAACTCAAGTACCCCTAGATTAAATTTCTATTTACTTATACAAGCATTTTAAAAGTAGGCAACACTAAAGACTACACATAAGTCTAGCTAATAGTACTAAATTTATGTTCATCTCAACCCCTAATTACATGACAGGAGGCCAGTGTTTGTAACTCTGGCTAGCCATTTGCATATTGCTCATAATTGTGCATATGCTACTGGATTTAGGATTATCTGGGGGAGGGTTGCTACAGTGTTGAATAAGTGTTATTAGATTGCTCATCTGGAATTGGATATAAAATATAATGTATAAAGTGTGACATGTCTGGTCCCCCAAACCTAACATAAACAGCTTTCTGCTATTACATTCAAAATACCAACTTATCTCCTTCCCGTTATTTTATGAATAAAACCTGGATCAAGATGTAAGTACAAGCCTTCAACCCAGCTGGGCTGAAAGGAACTCTACTTTGGAAAACAGCACTGCTCTTAGATGAGATGGCTTTGGATGTGGCTCAAATAGCAATATGGCAACAGGAAGGCAAAAAAAAGCATTCCTGGGAAGAAATGGGGCTATTTCCCACAGCCAGGGCTCCCACTATGCATGGGACATTTTCCATACTTGCGGAAAGTTTTCTGTGAGGAACTGGGCCAATGTTCTAATTCAGATGAATTGGTTCCCATGCATGGTTCCCAATGTGTGGTTTATCCATTTCTGGTTAATTAGCAGTCAACTGAGTTTTCCGTATTCTCTTTTTTAATTCAATCTAGTTTTTCTGTGTCCTCCTGTCAGAGCAAGCATGCCATAGGCTCTAATCTAATGATAATATGCCAAATTCAATTCAATAAACATTTATTAGGGACTTATATGGAAGGCAATATCTGTTGCACCAGGGATACAAGAAAAAAATTAGCCATATAATCTTTGCTCTCAGAGAATCACAATTTATCTCATAGGAGAGATAAAATGTATACATAAATAATAAGATACATGAAAAATTAGCAAAATATACATCCTACAATTGTTCTCAAAGAGAGTATATATAAACCTACTTTTCATCAATCAGCCTGTCCACTTGTTCTCCTAGCCACTTACCTATTGGCCTGAATAGTCAGAGTTAATCGATCAATCAGTCAATCACACATGAGCAGTCACAGAGAGAATGAAGAACAGGGTAGGAGCAAGAAGGGACAGAATGAAGATCAAAGGTATAACCATCCCTGCTTGTAGCTGGGGTAAGGTGAAGAAGTAGATCATGGAAGCTGTTGATTGAGGTACCAGGAAGTTAGGAGGATGTTCAAGGGTATGTGTGTGTATCTGTATATACACACATATATACATACATACATCTATGGATATATCTATATATATACACACACATATATGTATTTATATGTTGAAGTCATCAATATATATGTATGAGGCAGGAGCTGGGATGGAGAAAAAGACTGTGAAACTGTGAACTTATTGAGAAAGGAGGGAGACTGTCCTATGGTTGAAAAGATAGCACCGCTGACTCAACAAACTCCAGAGGCTCCCTATCACCTCTAGGATCAGATAAAAAAATCCTCTGTTTGGCATTCAAAGCCCTTCACTCATATCCCTTCTCCTTTCCAGTATTCTTATTCCTCCCCCCACCCTCCCACCCCCACTTCCTTATATTCTTTGATCCAGTAACATTGGCCTCCTTGCTGGTCTTTGCACAAGACATTCCATCTCCCCACTCCAGGCATTTTCCCTGGCTGTCCTCCATGCATGGAATGCTCTCTTCTCTCCTCATCTCTGCCTCCTGGCTTCCACAGCTTTCTTCAAGTCTCAAGTAAATTATACCTTCTACAGTAAATCTTTGATCCCATTTAATTCTCCTTCTGCTGTTTATTTCCAATTTTTCCCTATATAGTTTACTGGTACATAGTCATTTGCATGTTGTCTCCTCCATTAAAATACGAGCTCCCTGAGAGAAGGAATTGTTTTTTGGTTTTTCTTTTTGTTTTTTTTTTTAACCATTTTTTTTTTATCCCCAGTACTTAGCACAGTGCCTGGCACACAACAGGTTCTTAATAAATGTTTACTGGTGGAATAGATTAGTTACATAACACAGAGAAGCAAAAGAAACAATAACTAATGTTGGATAAACCCAAAGACCCAAGCTACTAGCATAACGTGTCACTACTGAACAAAAACTATTGAGAAAACTGGAAAGCAGTTTGGCAGAAATAAGGCATAGATCAACCTGTCACATTAACTCCAAATGGAAACATGACTTAGACATAAAAGATGACTTGATAAACAAATTAAAAGAGTAAGGAAGAAAGTCCTTTCAGATCTATGGAGAAAGGAAGAGTTTATGACCAAACAAGCAATAAAGAGAATCACAGAAGATAAAAAAGACAAACTTGGTTATATCAAACTAAAAAGAGTTTGTACAAACAAAACAAATGGAGTTAAAATTAGAAGAGAAATAGGTAACTGGGAAAAAAAAAAACTTTGTAGCAAGTTTCTCTGATAAAGTCTCACTACCAAGATATCTGAATTTCTTCATCTGTAAAATGGGGATGATAATAACACTTCCTAGAGTTGTGAGAATCAAAAGAGATAACATATACAAAGTGCTTCACAAACCTTAAAGTGCTGTAACCTTAAACATTTTTTTGTTGTTCAGTGGTTTTTCAATCATGTCTGATTCTTCATGACCCCATTTAGGATTTTCTTGGCAAAGATACTGGAGTGGTTTGCTATTTCCTTCTCCAGCTCATTTTAAAGATGAGGAAACTGAGGCAAACAGGGTTAAGTAACTTGTGCAGGGTCACACAGCTAGTAAGTTTCTGAGGTCACATTTGAATTCAAGTCTTCCTGACTCCAGGCCCAGCGTTCCGTTCCCTGTGCCACCAAGTTGCCATATAAGCTTAAATATACATGCTAGCTATTATTGTAGAGGCAGCTAGGTGGCACTGTGGATAGAGTGCTGGTCCTGGAGTGAAGAAGACTGGAGTTCAAACCCATCCTCAGATCCTTACTGGCTGTATAGCCTTGGGGAATGCCTCAGCTGCCTCATCCGTAAAATGGAGATAATAAAAGGACCTCCCTCACAGAGGTGTTGTAAGGATAAAATAATATTTTGTAAAGCTGTTTTGCAAACCTTAAAGTGCTATATGAATGCTGGCTGTTATTATTAGTGAAGGAAGAAATCTAAGCTATCAACAATCATATGAAAATGGGTCAAATCTTTAGAGAAATGAAAGTAACTGAGTTTCTATCTCTCACCTATCAATTTGGCAAATATGACAAAAGACAGAATTCACAAATGCTGGAGGGGCTTTGGGAAATGAGGACACTAAAAAGAGCAAATTGGAACTAGTTTAAAAAAAAAGTTACCAAATTGTACATGTCCCTTGACCTAGCTAGATCACTATTAGGCCTATATCCTGAAGTGATCGGAGAAAGAGGAAAAGAACCCATACGTACAAAAAATATTTATAATAGCTCTTTTTATAGTAGGCAAAAATTGAAAACTAAGGTGGGATGGTACCCACTTTTTTTTTTAAATTTTTAGGCAGTTGGGGTTAAGTGACTTGGCCAGGGTCACACAGCTAGTACATGTCAAGTGTTTGGTCTGAGGCCGGATTTGAACTCAGGTCCTCTTGACTCCAGGGCCGGTGCTCTACCCACTGCGCCCCCTCGTGGCCCCACGTACCCACTTTTTAGGGAATGAATAAATGACGGCACATGAATATAGTGAAATATTTTTGTGCCACAGGAAACGATGGAACGGACAGTTCCACAGGGAAATGGGAGAACTCCACGAACGAGTGCAGAGCCAGGAGAAGGGTTCACTCAACGGCGGTGTTGACTCTAGAGTTCGGATCAGTGTCATGGGCAACGCTAAGCTCAAAAGACAAGGCGGCGCTTTCGCCAGCGAAGAGACAGACTTCAAATCTGGAACAAAGACACGAATTTGTGTCCGCATGTTGCTAGTCTGTGCACATTTGATATCAGGTGTTTTGTTTTTTGTTTTCAATTAGAGATGGGGCCACAGAAGGAAAAGATAATAAAAGCTTCTAGAACAACATATATCAATAAATAATTTAAAAAGAAATAATTGACACTAAATGAGAATAACTTCTCAAAGAACATAAAGATTGCTCTCACTGAGAAACAGCTGATTTGCAATCTACGTAACAGATCCCCCTTCAATAAAAATCCAAACCCACCTCCAATGAACTGAAGACTGGTGGACCCAGGGTTTTCAGCATCCTTTTGAACTAAACTATACGAACTACCTAGCTGATTATACATATAACACAGAAAAAAAATTTAAAAAGCAATTAAACATTCAGCAAGTATACTCTAAAATACTTAATGCTTATAAATGTTTCAATTAAAAAAACCTGTATTTGATCATAAGCTTGATTGAGAATAAAGCCTCTCATCTATAAAACATGAACTTAAGTAGAATATTTCTAGAACTCTAACAAAATACAAACTTACGTTCGCTCTGCAACATGGCTTTAGTAAGTAAAACATTTTCACTTCATAAAAGTGACATTTAAAAAGAAACAAAGAGAATACAAAAGGGTATATTACACTGCATTTCAGAATGTGACACAAAAGAGTAACTTCTTTGAGTGGAAGGTGTAATTATAGTACTTACCGCTATGATATCTAACGTATTATCACAGACTTTGCGGATCTCATTATTTTTGTCATGCATTAGGTCTATTAGATAAGCTGGAGCCTCTGGATAAAAATGGTTAAAGATATAAAGTGCATTTAAAATTGATTTAGAATGTTCAGACACATTTAAAAAGATTTCATTTATCTAACCATAAATGCCATAATTGAGAGTAAATTGTAAATTATTCAACAAAAAATAACAAAGAATAAATGGAATCATCCATTATTTCATGTACTGAAAATTAAGGCAATACACACAAAAATATACTTATGAAAAGAATTCTTTCTTTTTCTGAAAGATAACATTATGGGAAATCATAATACAAACCAGAGTTGTTTGGTTTTTTTTCTGAATTGCTTTGTTGTTGAGCTTTCCTAGGGATAAACACATTTAAAATGACTAACAAGTCAACTTGTTGTCAAATGACAACAAGTCTCATGGACGTCAAATGTTGTGACTGTATTTGTAACAGTACAAGTGATGATCTGATCTGTAGTCCCATGCTACATACTCATCCCTGGCCAAGAGTGTACTGTCTATATTTTAAGCTGTGGTGCAGAAATTCAAATCCCAATCTCAGATACTAGCTTGTAAATCAACCGTTTACCTACCAAAACAAATTTTGTCTTCTGCACCTCTTACTTTCCACAGGCAGCACTAAGGAAAACATAATATATGCCCTAAAGGTCTTCCATTTCTTTGATAATCTTTGGCAGTGCTTTCTAGATTCCTTCTGGCAATACCACTTGTACCCATGTGAATCACCAGAAGTGGTTAGTAGTTCTCCATTATCCTAAGTCTTGAGAGATTCTCTGTTACATCTTGGATGCAAAGAATCAGTGTTGTCAAAGTGGAAGGGACACCACTGGCTATCTGGCCCAACCCATACCTGCTATAGCATACCTAACTAGTGGTTACCTGGGTTCTTCATGAAGACCTCCAATGAGGTCTTAGGTCCATTCCACTTCTGAACAGCTCTATGTGCCAGCAAGTTTATCCTGACCTCAAGCCTAAACTGACCTTTGTGCAACTTCACTCACTCACTGCTCCTGGTTCGACCCTTTGAGGCCAAAAAGAACAAATCTAACTTCTCCTCCACATGGCAGCTCTTCAAATATTTGAAGACAATTATTGCAATCTCAATCCTCAATCTTCTCTAGACCAAACAACCCCAATTCCTTCAACTGATCCTCTCACGTCAGAGGCTTAAGGCCCTTCACCATCCTAGCTGCCTTCTTCTGCTCACTTTCCATTTTATTAATGTCCTAAGGTTCTTAAACTGTGACACCCAGATCTAAGCACAGGACACTCTAGATGTGGTCTGACTAGAGCTGAATACAGTGGAACTAGACCTCTCAGTTTCTGAGAAGGTGTGCCTCTCTTAATGCAGTCCAGGACGGCATTTGCTATTTTGGTTGCTACACCACATTGCTGACTTGTATTGAGCTAAAACCCTCAGATGTTCTTTAGATTTGTTATCTAAACATACCTCCTCCATTTTATACTTGTAAAGTTGTGTTCTTTTCTATTCAAGTGTAAGACTAGATTTACTTGTACTGAATTTCATTTTAATAGATTTAGCCCAATGATCTTTCATCTAATTTTCGCTACCCCTCCTAGCTTTTTGTCATCTGAAAATGTGACAAGCATTCCATTTATGCCTTTATCCAAGTTACTGATAAAAATGTTAAACTGTGCAGATTCCTGGGATGCTCCACTGGAAACTCGCTCCTATGCTGAAGACTGAACCACTAACAACTATCGAGTCTGATTATTCAAACAAATCTGAATCCATCTAACTATATTATCAAATCCATACTTCTCTATCTTCTCTATGAGAATGGCATCAGGTATTTTATGGAATGCTTTATTAAAATCTAGATAAATTTATCTAATGCATTTTCCTCATCTACTACTTTTATAATTCTGTCAAAAAAGGGAAATAAGTCTAACATGACCTATTCTTGACAAAGTCATGCCTGTTCTTTCTAAAAATTCATTCCCTTTAATGATCCAATACTAGAATTTTCTCAGGTGCATACTATATACTCTGTGTGTGTGTGTACACACAGACACAGATACACACACACATATATATTCTCACACTCCCCCAACCCTGGCACAGTGTTTGCAGATTCTTTTATTTTGTCTTAATTGAAAATTGGGACATTTGCCCACCTCCAATCTTCTGGTACTCTACTTACTTTACCTATGATCTTTCAAATATTACTCTGACAGTTCTTTCAGTACCTAAGTTATAGTTCATCTAGACCAGATGACTTGAATGTACCAAGGGCAACTAGATACTTTTTTACTATTCTCTTTTTTTGGGTATCAACTTTGTTATTCTATTCTACTCTTTTTTATTCTATCATTTTTAGTCTAATCTAGCCTATTCTATATATTTATTTTGTTATTTATTTCCCTTAGCAGAAAAAAATAGATGAGCAGCTCTGCCTTTTCTCTGTTGACTGCTATCATTTTTCTACACAGCCCCAGTAAAAGTTCCATTCCTTCTCTTATTGTCCTCAGCGTCCCATGACAGCCTCAGCTCACTCTGAGCTTCGAACCTCCGGATACTATTTTTGTAGGGCCTTGGTCCTTATATTCCCCATCTTTCAATCTTCCTGTATCAGTTCTTCATCATCATTGAAACCTCCATGCCCCCTACTCCTTAATATTCCCAGGCCATTACCTCAGCTCTGACTTTATTTTCCTTTCCAAATCATTAGCTATTTTAACTCTATATTGTCCTTTGCTCTTGAATCCCCTGGCACCCTGTTCTTCTGCTGCTCTTCTCTCTTAGCTGGGTATTACTCACACTATCCATTTCCATAGATCCCACTCATGAGCTACTGAATGAAGTTCAAGGATGTTGATGTAGTTATACTGATGAGTTACAAATTCATGTTATAACACTGCAACTAGGCTCTTACTGAAACAGGTCCTTTTGTTCCTTCCAATTGATTCTTTATCTTACTCCCCAAAGAAACTATTACAAACCTTTTCTTATATCCTTTAGCCTCTCTATTTCTCCTCTTTCAGCTGAAGACTTTAATTCTTATTTTCCTGAAAAAAATAAGGCTATTCTATATTCTACATTAGCTCCTTCTTTAATTCTCTTCATACAAAACTCCTTGACACCTTCTCCCATTCTTGCCTATAATCCTACATGTATGTTGTGTGCCTCTAATCTCTGATTCTGGGGATCCTGAGACTGGAGGATATCTTGAGCATAAGAGTTTTGAGCTGCGGTGGGCTAAGCTGATCTTTTGTCTTTACTGTCTGGTGAACCTTCAGGCTACCTGAGGAGGAGTGGTCAGGCCTGTACCAATCAGTAGTGGGTTCAGGTCTGGGAGTAGCTACTGTATTTCCAGTCTGGGTCAAAGACAAGACACCCCAATATAAAAGGAAGGAAGGAAGAGAGGGAAGGAGGAGGAAAGGGAGACAAGCAGGGAAGGAAGGTCTAAACTTGCTTGCTCTACTTCTTTTACTCACTCCTCTACTCTTTGGAATATGGCTTTTGACCTTACCACTCAACTGAAGCTGCTGTCTCCAGTTACCTGAACTCTTAATTACCAACTCTAACGGTCTTTTCCTCAGTTCTAATCCTTCCTGAATTATCTGTTTGAAATTGCTGAGCACTCTCTTTTGGGGAACTCTTTCCTCTCTAGACTTTTGTGACACTATTCTCTCCTGGTTTGTCTTCGACCTCTCTAATCACTCCTCAGTCTTCTCTTCTGGCTTCTCATCCATATGATGCCCCCTAAATGTGGTTATTCCACAAGGTTTTGTCCTGGGTCCTCTTCTCCCTTTATACCTTTTGTCCTTATGAGTACATAGGTTTAATTATCATCTCTATACAGATAACTCCCAGATCTATATATTCAGCTCCACTCTCTCCCTCAAACTTTAGTCCCAGATCGCCATTGCCTACTGGACATTTCACACTGAATTTTCCCAGAGATATCTTAAACTCAGTATCTTCAAAACTGAACTCATTATCTCTTTCCCCTAAACCCTTCCCTCTTCCATATTCCCTTGTTTTTATCAAAGACACCACAATCTTTTAAGTTTCCAGGGTTCACAATCTTGGCATTATTCTGGACTCCTCATTCTTCCTTACCTCACATATCCAATCAGTTGCCAAATCTTGCTGTTTCTACCTTTATAACAGCTTGAACATCCTATTCCTTCCCTCTATTCATATCACCTTTGTTCAGGTTCTTATCACCTCTCAACTAGATTATTGTAACTGCCCCCAATTGGGCTCCCTGCTTCAAATTTCTCACCACTCCAGCTGATTCTACACATTGCTGCCAAAATAATTCTCCTTGGGTGATCACCTACCCAATCACCTCTAGAGACCTTTCATCACTTCCGAGATAAAATATAAATTTGCCTGTTTGGCTTTTAAAATCCTATACAATCTAGCCCCAACCTGTCTTTCCAGTCTCATTATCCCCCCCGCCCCATACTCTCTGATGCAATCAGAATGGCCTTCTTTCTGTTCCTTACACACAATACCCATTTTCCATGTCTGTGCCTTTGCACTGTCTATGTCATATAGGAAGCACTCCCTTCTTTACCTCCCTACATCTTAGAATCCCTCTTTTCCTTAATGGAAAAATGATGCTGGTCATGCAATGTCTTTTGTGAAAAGTCTTTCCAGGGTTAAGTGACTTGCCCAGGGTCACACAGTTAGTAAGTGTCTGAGGCTGGACTTGAATCAGGAAGATGAATCTTCCTGACTCTAGGCCTGGCACTCTATCCATTGAGCCATATTACTGGACTGCTATGTTATGTTGCCTTTTTTTAAGTGGAACTGTGATTTATCAGTGTAGAGAAAGTTCCTACTAAAGCACTGAGGATGATACCAAGGCTGAAAACCTGAATGAGAAACAGTTCAGAACCACTTCCCTATAACTATCCAGAGTACCACAATCCTTCCAGACACAACTCTGATGTCATCTTTGAGTCCTCAGTGTCACCACATCTCCAACCAGCTGCCAAACTTGTTGTTTCTATCACATCATCATAGATTTAAAGCTGGAAGGTTCCCTCGAGGCCATTGATTGCAACACCCTCATTTTACTGATGAAAAGATTAAGTAACTCACCCAGGGCCACACATCTAGTAATATATATCTGAGTAAGAACTTCTGACTCCAAGTCTCATACCCAACCTGCTATGCCATGCTACCTCATTATCAATCAACAAGCATTTGTGATAAGTTTACTATGTATGAAGTAACATCTTTTGCATACATCTCCCCTTCTCTACTCAAATACTACACCACCTTAGTTCAAGCTTTCATCTTCTATTACCTGGACTCTTAAAATTTATCTTCCTGACTCATTTCTTCCTAATTCAATCCATCTTTTGCATGGCTTCCAAAGGATGGTCCTAAAATACAGGAGCCAACATGAACTCTTCTTCTTGGCATTTTAAAGCTCTTCACAACTTGGTCCCTTTTCCACTTCCAGGCTTCAAAATTCTCGCCTCTACATACTCCACATGCAGCTGTACTGGTCTCTATTCTTCACACATGATTATACACCTCGTGTCTCTGTGCATCTGGACTAGCTGTACAGAATGCCTGCAATATACTCCCTCTTCCACTTTGGCTTTCAGAATTCCTGTATTCTTTCAAAATTCAACCTAAATGCCACCTTCTATAAGAGGTCTTTCATGGTCCCTTCCTAGATATGAATACTTTTTTCTCTAAGGTTACCTTTTATCTACTTTATATGTATCTTATATATTTCAATATATGCATATGCTTATTCATAGAAGCCCTCCCCCCCAATACACATTGTCTCCTCTACTGCAATGTACACTTGAGGACAAGCAGTGTTTTCACTTTTTTTTTTAAATTCATAGTGTTTAGCACACTGTATGGCATATGATATCTGTTGATTAACTTAAGAGTCTTAGAGCTGCCTAGGGCACTGAGAGGTTATGTACCTGCCCTAGGTCCAACAGGCAGTATATTTCAGAACAGGGACTGAACCCAGGTCTTCCTGATTTTGTAATCAGCTCTCTATCTGCTATACCACACTGACTTCTAATGTGAGGTAGCACTTCTGAAAACAAGAAAGCCCCAAGTGCTCACTAACATGAGCATTTACAAATATGACTTCTTCAAAACTAGAGTAATAGTTTCATATTTAAGTACCTCAATCATTCTGATCAATTGTGTCAGTCAGAATGGTAGTCAGTTGTACACATAAATGCAGCATAAGTGTGTTCCATCCTTGATCAGTTTATTTCTGTAAATTTTTTGTTGAGTTACTAAATTATACAGCCCTATCACCACTCAAAAGAACACTGGCTTACAAGCTCATAATATTTTTGGAAATGTCTTCAGAACTATCCTATAAGAAAATTAGTGTTATTACTTAGTAACTGGTTTGATCACTATTTCTATCACTAGACTGAACTACTTTTGGTTATTTCCAAAAATCAAACTCACCACCAAAGACTGAAGACTTAGAGACAACTGAAAATATCCACCAGGATGTGTGATCTAGAGTCTTCCAGAGACAATTCAAAAAGTAAAGTTTCAAATGTACTTTGCATCATGGCAACATGGACGAAACATATAGCCTCCCAAGGCTTCCACAATGAAAGGCGTCACATTTATTTAGATGATATTCTATTATATTCATTAAAGTTTCTGTGCTCTTTGCCCTACACTCTGCTGGTTTTCTATTACTAAAGGAGTAAGGAGTAATAATAATAGTACTCAATATGGAATTAGAAATGTCTTCTAAGTTTAAGTCAAACTTTGACAACAACAGAACATAAGCTCCTTGAGAACAGAGGCTCTTTTTCATTTTTATTTTTATCCCAAGCTCTTAGCACATTGCCTTGAATATTGTAGCTGCTTAATAAATGTTTGCTGAATCTAAATTCTACATTAATAGTTGTATATTTATTTTGGTTTTTGCTGAGGCAATTGAGGTTAAGTGACCTGCCCAGGGTCACACAGCTAGTAAGTATTAAGTGTCTGAGGCTGGATTTGAACTCAGGTCCTCCTGACTCCAAGGCTGCAGCTCTATCCACTGTGCCACCTAGCTGCCCCTATAGTTGTATATTTGTAAAAAGAAAATGCATACCTATATTTATTAGGAAAAAGTGGAATGCTTTCAAAATATTTTAAACAGGAAAAGGATACGTGTTTCCTTGATGATGACATCTCTAGTAGCTTGGTGGAAAACCATCTGGTAGAAGACATAGATTATCTGACACACAAACTCATCATCTTCTTGTTGAGCTGAAAAAAGTTAAAAAGGAGTTTCTTTAAGTCAGAGCGCTCTATGCTTAAGTCCCTAAATAGCAACATTTTAGGGGAAGGTTTAAGAATGACAGACTACACAAGAAAGGGAGGGGGAAAATAATCAGTTGGTTTAATAGCATTGAGTTATTTAGCAACATTTTATTTACTTTTATCAGGTATTTATTCCACTTGTATGACTGTGATAATTTAGGAATATGAACTGTCATAGTTTGATCTTTGGAAAATTTGGTTGTAGTTAAATAAAAATTTCTTTTGAAGTCTCAAGGTCAAGAACTTTGAGGAAAGGAAATATGTTATGCTGACACTAATAATATATTCAATAGGACATTTTATTTGAAAAGATAAAATTATATAAGATTTGAATGAGTCAGGCCTACAAGGAATTAAACAGTGTAGTGGAATTTAGAGAGTACTAATATTACTTTCTCTTGGTTTTTCACTCTCTCTCTCTGGCTGTCACCTGAGAAATTCCCTCTGAAACAACTGTGACAAGTCTCTTGACAACTCTCTGTGTCAATAATACATCTAGTGATGGGGAACTCGGTACCTTACATGGCAGTTCTAATTGTTGTAAAGTTTTTCCTTATAGTGAAGTGAACTGTCACCCTGCGATTTGTACCAATTAGTGCATCAAATCCTTATTTTTAAAACAATACAAGAACACATTCAAAAATACCACATATGTTTTCCCTCTCCATCACATGAATTATTCAAATCATTCTCTTTTTGGAAAAAAATCTGATTCTTATTTTTCCATGATGGTGCTTCTGTATGATATTGCTTATATGCATAAAAGCATATGTCTTTTTAAAAATTAATAAGTAGATTAGGAAAAAATGAGATTACAAAAATTCCATATTGTAAAAATAGAAATTATTTCAAATTGCATAAGAGTATTTACTAGTTTGGTACATTAGGATATCTTATTTTAGCTTATTTAAATTTAATGACATAAGGCTTGTTATAGAAGGTCTTTGTCAGTCCCATAAATTAATCGGACACTTTTCATGTTATGAAAAGAATAATTTATTGTGCAAGTGCTAGGAAAAACAGATTACTTATAGAAACCTTGCTTTGAGGTGCCTGTGATGAGATTGGTTTACTTATGAGCGTTGGGTTTTTCCTGACAACTTCAGTCAAGGGGAAATCCTGCTGTGTTAACACTCTCCTCTCCTGACCCAAGGTATAATCAAATACCAACCCTCTAAAACTATATGGTATGAAATTATCACCATGAGTCACTCACTGCCTTAGGTAAGACATTAGAGGTGGGGAGTGGTGGGGCGGGGCAGTACTGTTGCTAGAAAGTCACTGTTAGAAAAAACATATATTTTCTGAGGTGAGGAGGGCCATGGGAACTCCTCTAGCCTTCTCCATATTCCTCCTCACCCCTACCATCAGCACATTTGCACAGATGAGTTTATCAGATTAACCAATAACCAATCTGAATTTACAGAAAGCCTGTCCCTCAAGGATTGAGAGAAGGGATAGATTAGGTCACAAATTAGGTATAGAGAGAAAGGGAATTTACTAACTATGGCTGCCCAGGTAGCAACATTAAGATAATGGGCAAAGGAAGATTGGACCTTGAGGGTAGAGTACTTGAAGTGAGGAGAGAGATGGCAGACACAAGTACATTCACTTCCTAATTTTGTATAGACATTGCATCAGGGTCAAATTTTCTCTGACCATCATAACATGAAAATAAACTTATCCTAGAGCCTATGACAATACAGCATGACCAAGGCACCAATCTAATTTCAGTAACTTAGTCTCTCTCTCTGTGTGTGTATGTATAAGAATGAAAACAATGAGTTTTAGCTGTTTCAAGCAGCAAATATTTATTAAGCTTACGTGCTACACACTGGACTAAGAGCTAGACATACAAAGAACCAGTGAAAAGTCTCTCCAGGAGCTTATATTCGAATATGGGAGACAAGATATACATATGGAAATACGTATAAAATACACACAAAGTAGATATAAGGTGACTTTACAGAGGAAGGCAGACCGAGAAAGGCCTTCTGCAAAAGGTGGTGTTCTAGCCAAGTCTTGAAGGAAGCCAGGGGTAAGAGGTACAGGTAAGGGGGGGAGGTGGCATTCAAAACATTGAGAAGAGCAAATAAAAGGCACTGACATTGGAGACAAAGTACAATGTGTAATGACTGCACTGAAGAGTGTGTAAAAGAAAACAGTATGTAAGAAGACTGGAAAGATGAAAAGTTTACACTTGATCTCAGAGGTAACAGGGAACCACTGCGATTTACTGGTGAACAGCAAAGTCTGTATCCATTCCATCTAACAAATAGAAGCGAATCTGAAAGTCTATTTGGGCTTTCATATTACTATAAATACACAGAATAAGGACATGTTTTCTGCTATTTTTATAACCTTTGTAATGCTAGCAGAGCACTAGTCACATTAGATACTTAGTAACTGATGTGCCACAAAAGTAATGGCTCAAATTAAGTTATAATACTCTGAAATATCTCAGTATGGCAGCTGGTAATAGAAAGGAAACTCTTAATTCTAACACCGCATTTGAAAACTGGGAGAAAGGGAAAAATAATGAGGAAATGATCACAGTATTCTACAACTAGTAAGAGAAAAGGATGCCTCCAGTTCTAGGACAGCCACATAAGCTTCCATGTCAGACATGGGAAACTAAAACGAGTACAAGAATGAAGTTGTTGAGCCCCAAAACAAAAAAAGACAATTACTGTCACACATACTACAGCCTCAGGATGAAAAGCCTGGGCCCTCTGTCATACATACACCAAGCTGCCATCAGAACATCTGGCAAAAGAACTCCTTTTGTAGCTCACAGTATAATTGTTTCTATAAGGAAGAATCAGAAATTTCCAGGAGCCTCTTCAAACTGAGAGACTGGAGCTTAGAACTGGCAAACCTATGCTAAATTGTACCTCTGAAGCCATAACCTGTCAAAAAATAAATTTAAAGCTAAAAATCAATGTTGGTCCTAATATCACAGTAATTTACTCTCCTATGGTTTCTTCCATCAGACCTCATTTTCTTCTTTAGGTAAGGATTCAGTTACATAATTTTCATTCTTCACGATGATCACTCATGCAAAGAAAAGCATTTTCTTTATGTATTTTTATATTAACTAGGTAAAAGACTGGGCAAGAAGGAAAAGAAATTAATTCAATTCAACAATTAAGTCTATACTGTGGAAGTCATGCATTAGGCACTGAAGATATGAAGAATAAAAATGAGAATTGTTGCTCTCACAAAGATTTTACAATATATGCTAGGATACATACTATTTGTTTATCTAAATTATAATAGCAAAGTACACACAAAGTACTAAAGGAAAATCTGAGGAGCAAGAGGGAATGTCCAGCTACAGAAAAGAGCACAGGTTTCATGGCAGAGGTAGGCTAAGAACTGGTCCTCAAAGGAAAAGAAGGATTTCAACAGGCAGTAATAAGAAGACAGTATATTCTAGGCACAGGGAACGGGCTGTGCACATGCACAGAACAAGAAAAACTAGGTCAGTGAACATACAGTGAATCTGGTTGGAATGCAGACTGCACAAAGGGTAGAAATGTGAAATAAGGCTGGAAAGGTAGATTAGAGCAAGAATGTAAAAGGCCTCAAATGCCGTTTAGAAATTTACATTATATCTTGTAAGCAAGTGGGAGCCATGGAAATCTTTAAAGGATATACTGGAGAGGGAAGAGACTGGAATTAGAAAGACTAGTAAGAAGACGCAAGATGATGACAGCCTGAACTCATATGGTAGCAGCTGAGTAAAGAGGAAGGGACAGATTCAAGAAATAATAGAGAAGTATAATTAGTAGGACTTGGGACCTAAATGGATGTGGAAGGAAAGGGAAAGGGAAAGGAAGAATAAATGACTTAGGTTTCAATTTTGGTTGACTGGTTAAATGATGGTACCATCAACAGAAATAAGGAAATGAGGAAGAACAGAGCAGAATAATAGGAAGCAGTAAAAGGTTTTAGTGGGGAAAGATGAGTTCAGCTTTGAACATGTGAAGTTTGGCAGTGCTGGTATGGCATCCCCCAGAAGCTGGAGGGAAGAAGACGACACTGGCATTGGATATATAGATTTGGAAATCATTTGCAGAGATCATCATTTCAGACAGCAGAATGGGAGTAGATGCCAGAAATAGGAAAGATTATATGGAAAAAAGAGGTATAAAGGAAGAGTCTTAGGGAATACCCACACTTAAAGGGCAGGAAAATATGATGAACCGGTGAAAGACATTAAAGAGGAGCAGATGAGAAACTACAAAGAAAAACTACAGAAAATAATATCCAGGAAACTAAGGGGAGGAAAGAATATTTAGAATGAAGAAGTGGTTAGCAGTGCCAAATGCTGCAGGAAGGTGAAGGGGGATGAGGACTGGGTAAATGCCATGGAGTGGCAACTAACCGGTCATCGGTGAAGCTGCACCGAGTTAAGAACCGATTCTTAACATTGGTTCAGAAGGCAGGCCAAAAGGGGCTGAGGACTGAGTTGTGAGTTGTGAGGAGTGAAAGGAGCAGGTATATAACACTCTAAGGAGAAAAAAGAATATACTGTTGAGGGAATGACAAGGTGGGAGGAGGGAGAAAGGGCCTATTTAAAAATTCATCTATCTAGCATTGGAGCTATTTGAGAATGTTTGCTGGCAGTGGAAAAGTTAGTAAGCAGGGAAATATGATAGAGGAGATGATCAATGGAATAAATCTTGGAAGTGATGGAATGCAAGAGTACAAGATAAGCCCTGGCAAAGAAGAGTCACTTAATTCTCTTAGACTGGTGCAATGGGAAAAAAGGACAGGTAGCATAAGCTTTTGATACAGCTTTGTCCAGTAACTAGAAGAGGCATTTACACTTCTATTTATTTCCCTTAATTGTAGAATTCCAGAGATTTCTATCTTGCCATATAGTTACCAGCATGACAAGGTAAAATGTAGTTTAACGAATGTAACTTGCACATGAGCAATTTTCAACAAATTAATGTCTTAACTAATTACTTAACCTATAAACTAGTGAGCATGGAAACAAAATAAAATGGATCACGACCTACCATTCAGCAATTCAATAAGTGCTGGAATGATTCCTGATTTGGCTAGCAATGCAGCACAAGAATCATCCATAGACACAGTTCCAATCATTATAACCACTTCTAAAACAAGATCATCTTCGGCAGCACCTAGTGAAGTCAAAGAGTGGAAATTGCTCATTAAAAAAAAAACAAAAACAACAACTTTGCATGACATCCTACTACAGCATCAACCTGCCTATAAGAAAAAACATTAAAGACTATAAGATAGTATCATGTTTTCTACCTCTTAAATTCTTGCACACACTTGCAAACTTCTAATTTTGCTGTGGTCCAACTGAAAAGGGAAGGGGAAAATGAACCTCGCCCTTGGAGACCTGGTTGGAAAGTGGAAGAGTCAGGAGCTAGGGGAAGGATGAGATTAAGAAAAGGTGGAAGGTAAGAAAACATTAATAAAAAACAATAAAACATGCAGGAGAAGGTTCATTTCTTCTATGGCGGGGAGGAGGAGGAGGAAAAGCTTGGCTTGCAGAGCAACGGCCTAAAGTGATATAACAGCACTGTAATAAATTGTTCAGTTAAGACCTTCACGTCTAACCGAAGAGAACGATTGACACCATAAAGTCAAACGCCTACGACAGACCTGGTTTAAGTTTATCCTTGAGGTACGGGGCCAACTTGTACTCTTTGAGAACTAGCTCCCAGTCCAAGTCAGGGATGGTGAGATTTGCTAGGGTCCCCAAACATTCTATCACAAATTCCTCTTCTTCATCATTAGAGATCTGAGCTGCGAGATCCCCAACATAATCCTAAATAAAACACAGAAATGGGTGCTCAGTAAAGTTACATAAAAGCACAAAGGGGTGTTGTTATTTTTCTCTGGTCTATTGTAGACTTATAATATTATTTAATATAAACTGTCTCATTTGCATAAATTTAAAGTGGCATGTTAAGTGAAGGTAAACAAATCCACTCGAGTCCTCATTCTCTTAGTATTTCTTTCTTTTTCTTTTTTTTTTAGGCAATTGGGATTAAGTGACTTGCCCAGGGTCACACAGCTAGTGTCAAGTGTTTGGTCTGAGGTTGGATTTGAACTCAGGTCCTCCTGACTTCAAGGCCGGTGCTCTATCCACTGTGCCACCTAGCTGCCCCTCTCTTAGTATTTCTAACATTACTACAGAATTTTACTTTTCAGCACAAGCATATTCTCATAACCGAATAAAATAAAAGATTTGACTAAGAAGAAATGACTTGGTATTTATGCTTGCCATATGGGTAGTTCTGTATTATTAAACTATTAGATTTCAAATACCTTGAACACAAAGACTATAAATATATACATGCATATTTTTATGTATATATTTTTAAAAAGAGATTTTCTTTTTTATCATGAATTTACTCATTAACAAATACAGATACTCCAAGATACAAAAAAGAACGGGAAAGAAGGTTGTATAAAAAAAAACTGTAAACTTCTGTTACACAGCTTATGTTTTTTTTAAAAAGAAATATACAGAGTATGTATGTATATATGTATGTCACACAAAGACAAAACCCCTCCATTTGTAACCCCTTCTGTACTTCTTTTTCCCTTCTGATTAAAAAAAAAAAAATCCCTTCCCCACCCAAGTCTATCAGTTGCTTTTCAGTCTTGTTTGACTCTTCATGACTTTATTCAGGGTTTTCTTGGCAAATATACTGGAGTGGTTTGCTATTTCCTTTTCCAGCTCATTTTACAGATGAGGAAACTGAGGCAAACAAGATTAATTCAGTGACTTGCCCAGGGTCACATAGCTAGTGTCTGAGGCCAGATTTGACGTCAGGAAGATGGGTCTTCCTGACTACAGGCCAGGTACTCTATGTATTGTGCCATCTATCTGCCCTATCACTACCCTCGCTGCCCCTGGAATTGAAGGCCTTCATTGTAATAAATATGCATAGTTAAAAAAATAAAATCAACTCATTAGCCATGTCTGGGAATGCATACCCATTCTACACCTCCAGTCCATCACTTCTCTGCCAAAAGGTGGGAGGTCTGTTTTATCATTGGTCTTTTGAAGTCATGATTGGTTGTGGCTTTGGTTAGAGTTCTATGATCTTTCAAAGTTACTTCCTCTTAAGTGATTATTTGTGGCCTTCACATAAACTGTTTTTATGGTTCTGCTCATTTCATTTTTCATCAGTTTATACAAGACTCTCCATATTTATATGAATCTATAAAATTCCATTATATTCATGTATGTCAGTTTGTTCAAAATAATATTTATTTTGCTTCCAGTTCTTTGCAAAAACAAAAAAAGTGATACTATATTTTTGTACATGTAGGTCCTTTCCCTTTGCCCTTCCTATCCTTGAGGTGTATGCCTAACAGTATCACTGGGTAAAGGGGCACGTAAAGTTTAATGATTTTGGGAGAATAGTTGCAAATTATTTCCCAGAATGGTCAAACCAATTTGCAGCCCCATCAACAATGCATTTAGTGTGCCTGTCCTTCCATAACCCCCCAGCAATTGCTAACCTACTTCTTTTCATCATCTTTGTCTATCTGATGAATGAGAAGAATATCAGAATTGTTCTAATTTGCACTTCTCTTATTATTGATTTGGACCATTTTTCTATATAGTCATTGATAACTTATACTCTCAGACTATGCTAATGAATGTTTAACAACCAAATCTCTCTCTCTGCATGTATATATGTATATCTATACCATATATGCATTCACATGCACTTTTAAGTACAATCTACATTATTAACATTTTCTTCATCACTTTCTTAAGTCCAGAAATCAATAAAACAATAAATCAACTCATAGTAGTATTTGCTGATTTCCAAGGTGAAAATGCTCATACTAAAAATTTAACAACTGAGCCAGTTTGAGCTAGCTCTAGTGTAAGCCTGCTATACTTTCTACCTCTAACTCTCCATTTCATCTTTTACGCTGATCTCTACCTTATTTACATAAGAATTCTCCCCTTCTGAAAATTCTTCCTTTGTCTTTAGTTTCTTTCATTACATCACCTTTTATAATTAAATTATGTATCACTTTAGAGTTCATTATCATATATGGCCATTTTTGTGTTTACTGGGTATTTTGTGATTTGCTGCTTTTCTAGTCTTTTTATTACATTCCCAGTTTATTAATTTCTTCTATCTTTTGTTGATAAACATGTTTAGCGAGATATAATTTCATCTATGAACTGCTTTAGCTGTATAACGAGAGTTTTGGTATGTTGTTTCATTATTGTATTTTTTAAAATAAAATTACCTACCATTTCTATTATTTGCTTTTTAACCTATGCGTTCTGTAGTGTTTTATTATTTAGTCTCCATTTAAATCTGAATCCTTCCTTTAAATTACTGTTATAACTTTTATTATATTTAAGTTAATAAAAATGTTTAATATCTCTGCTTTTCTACATTTGCTTATTTTTTTTCTACCCTAGAGTACAAGGTCAGTTTTTAAAGGTACCATATAAAGCTAAAAATATGTATACTCCTTTCAATTCTCATGCAATAGTCACCAGACTTCTCCTATATTTAACTTATCCAAAAATTTTATTCAGTTCTTTCATGGTTCCTGTTGAGGAAGCATGTCCGAGGCATGTCAAACCAACACTACAACCAGGACCACCATCTCTTAAAAAGATCCTGATGGAGAAAACTGAGGACCCTGAATCCAAGAACCTTGGGAGTAGCAACGTCTCTCAGGCTATTGGACCTGTTTTCTGATGGAGACCCACCGGCATTATTGAGAAGAAATCACTGTGGAGGAGAGGCCCACTTTCTTCACCACCACTACCAACTGTCCAGCTGCAATCAACAGGCAGATAAGTGAAGTAGCCCTTGGGGGTAGCAGTGCCCCAAAGACCACCCATGGCTGAGCCCTCACAGAAGCAACTCCTGTGAACAAGGGGCCAGCCATCCCCACCAACTGCCACACTGCCACTCACAGAGAAGGCAGGCTAGGTGAGCTAAAGCAGCAAGGCACCCTGAGTGAGAGGCCAGAGGCAGCATTTGCTTGGTGAGTCAAATCCAGCGAGTCCTTTTCACACGGGCCACCGTCTCCTCACAGACCCTGATAGTGACAGCTTGAGACCTTAAATTCAAGAGACTTTGGAACATTAGTGCTTCCAGGTAAGTGTCAGATGGTTCATCATCAGAGACTGATATGATTTTATCAGGGGAAATGGTTTTTTTAAAAGGGAGATTACCATCTACTTTGCCTTTGTACCCTATGGACTATGGGAGCTTTCCATCTGATTTGCAGCTAAAACCTTCCCTATGTGCTGCCTCCCCTATTAAAATGCAAGCTCTTTGAGAGCACAACTCACTTATTTTTCTACTTGAAACCCCGGCACTTAGCACAGTGCTTTGCCTGTAACACTTAATGTTTCATTTATTGATTGTTTTTTGTTTGATCTAAGTCTGAAAGGGCACATTAAGGCCTCAAACAAATATTGTTTTGTTGTCTATTCCTCCCTGTTGTTCAATTCATTTTTCCTTAAGATATTTAGATTTTATGTTATTTGGTGCATATATATATGTATAAACATATGCGCACACACACACAAACACACACACACACACACACACATATATGTATATATAAGTTAACAGTTCATTATTTATGGTACCATTAAGGACACTGCAGTTTTTATGCTTATCTCTTTTTATTTTAAAGATATTTTATTGACATCTTTTGCTCTATGTAACATGCCTCCTTAAAAAAATTTACAAACATTTATTTTCTCTCCTTCCATTCCCTGGGCCTGCTGAAAAATTTAAAAAAAGAAGGAAAAGAAAACCCTCATAACAATTTGCATTGTCCAGCAAAACAAATTTTCACATTGCCTATTTTCTCAAATGTATGTCTCACACTGATCTTAAATCCATCACCTTTCTAACTGGAGGTGAGTAGTGTGATTTATTTTTGGTCCTTTGAGATCATGGTTTACCATGGCAATGATAAGTATTCCAAAGTCTTTCAAAATGGTTTTTCTTTATAATGTTATCATTGTATAATTGTTTTCTGAGTTCTGCTCACTTCATTCTGCATCAGTTTATAGATATTCTCAGTAAATTATCCATTTTCTCATATCTTATGGCACATTAATATTCTACTTGCTTATCTTAAAAGGGAGGTAATTTTTAAAAACCACTTTAAAAAAAACCGTTGCCTTGTCTGAGATTATGACTATCACTGTTTTGGCTTCCCCTGAAACTCATCTCCTGATGTTAGTTCCTCATCTTAACGCTTGTGTTAATAGCTTTATATCTGGGACCAACATGCTTAGTCCTTTTAAGCCTGTGCAGAGTATATCAGTGTGCTCAGAGGATATAATTTCCATATGGAAGAGTTAAGATGAGGAGCTAAAGTAGTTACAAACAAAATAAATAATTTTCTCAGGGGGAAGGAATGATAGGTGATTAATCCCAGTCACACTTAGAATATGACTACATACTAGTAAGCATGTTTTTCCTTCCATCAGATCCTATTACAATATTTCCTCTCTTGGCCAGCTAACCCACTCCTTTTAAAAAGGAAAAAAAGATGGCAAAAGGGGGTAGTATTATCACTAATAATCTAATGGTCTGATTTTCCATTTTTACCTTTCTGTCCCAGGCCTTAGTTGTTTTATCTTTCCCTTTATTTCTCCCCTTTTAATTCCCCCTTTATAATCCAACTTCCTTGGGTAAGGTTTATTTTGTTTGTGAGTATTTCTTCCCTACTTCTACCCTCTATCTCCACCTGTTGCTCTATTGATATTAATGCACTCAAGTCTGTACATATATCAATGCGGTGGGGAAACAGGGCACAGTATATAAATATATGTGTGTGTATTCTCCTTTCCTTCTCCTTGTTCTGATAAGAGGGAAACTGCTGAACTTACTGCTTCACCACTCTCGTCTTTATGTCTATATATTCTTTTTAATTATGAAAGTGAATTTATCAAGCATTTACTATGTCAAGCACTATGCTGGGTGCAGAAGATACAAACACAAAAGAAAAAAATAGTTCTTGCCCCTCAAGAAGTTTACATTCATTAAAAAAGATTATTTTATTAATATCCTTTGTTTTTACACTGCCATATTTCTTCCCTGGATCTCTCCAGAAAACCATCCCTTACAACAATGAATTTTTTTTTAAAGAAGGGAAAAAAATTCAGTGAATCCAATCAACACAATAAAAAAATTATCATATCATATTATATCATAGGCAGCATTCTACATCTGTGGACTGTACTTCCTCTCCCCACAAAGGAGTTTGGGGAGGTGTGTTCTCATGTCTCTTCTTTGGGGACAAAATTGTTCTTTCTAATTTCAAAATACTCAGTTTAGATTATTTGTTGTGGCTGTTCTTTCTATTTATATTGCTGTAGTCATTGTGTATATTGTTTTCCTGGCCCTGTTTACTTCATTTTGCATCAGTTCAAATAAATCTTTCTATGATTCTCTGTATTCATCATGTAATGAGAATTATCATAGGCTGCAACGCCTAATAAATGAGCAATTACACAGGAGAAATGGTATAAAAGATTATCCCAGAGAAATAAATGATAAGGAAAAAAGACAGACTAGTAAAGGATAACTGATGTTCTTATCATTAGCTCCATCAGTATCCATGCAGTGTTAAGTGAGTGCAAACAGTGCCCCAGGAAAGTTGGATGGACTTACTAAGGTATACTTATGGGAGAGTTTGGACAAAAGTTATATTGTACGGGTGTGGAGGGAATATCCACAACAATGACATCAAAGATGATGATGATAATACTATCTTGCATTCATATAGAATCTTAAGGTTTAAAAGCACTTTACATACATAATCTCATTTGATCCTAATAAAAACTCTGTAAGGTAGGTGATATTACAACTCTCATTTTACTGATAAGGAAACAGGCTCAGAGAGGTAGAGGGACTTGTCCAGAGTCACACAGTCAATCAGTGTCTAAGGCAAGATATGAAGCCAGTTCTTTCTGACATCAAGTGTAAAACTCTATCCACAACTTGGTGCTGCCTCTCCAATACACTGAGATCCTAGTAGAATAAAATGTTTTCTATCTATATAGGACAGAACTTGACACAAGTTAACCCATAATAAAGTATATGTGCTTACAATAAACAAATTTTTAGTTGGTCCATCATGCTGTGAAATGTTCCTAATCATCTTCATCAACAGTGGATCCTTGAATTTTAGAGCCCTCTTCATAAGCATCTTCAGTCCATTTCCTATAGATAAAAAATACTAAGTATGCCAAATACAATTCAAGTTTAACTTTAGTGCAAGAAAATTAAGGAAAAAAAACTCTCTCAATACCAGTTTATTAACAAATAAGTGATTAAAAGAGAAGCAAACATGAAAAAAAGTTTCTTTCCAGAAAATATATAAATTAACCAGTATTAATTTTGGAGAACCCAAGAGAGACACAAATTCACCTTAATGTTCAATGTTACCACTCAAGAACAAGAACATACTATGTTTCCATCTATAATACAAGAGCATTTTAGGACTTCATATTAGTAGTGTCTAATACCTGCAGAGACTAAAGTCAAATAAGACGGCTCTTGAATGATTTGCAGTGGTGTCTGTCCATCATATAACCTATACCTTAATGTCTTGCCAATTGCCTGATTGTATCCTATGTTCAAAGATAAGCAGTAAGAAACTCAAGATCACTGACCTTCACAAATAAGCTGTACGTTCCTCTTGTTAGCAGCAAGGTTGATGCAGAAGGAGATGAGCTCTAGGTCAATTCGTTCATCAGAGCACTCAAAGAGCATTTTCATTAGCTAGCAATAAACACACACACATGCACACCACAAGTTATATCATCAGAACACTTGAAAACTCAAAAACAAAAGAATGACAACAAATTTTAACTATGCACACTGTATTTTATATTATACACTCTGCGGCAATGACAAAAACCTCGTAATCAAGAAATAAACACATAATGAAAAATTAATCCAATGCATGAAACTGGCCAATGGCATTACTGTCTTCTTTTGGGAACTGATAGGTTAATACAAAAAAAAATGGTCAGAATGTCTGATGACTAACTAAACATTTAAGGCAGGTACTCAAGCTAGCCATGTCTCATTCCTCTCCAGGCTGCACTCTGGACTTTCTTCACCATGCCCCTGACCTAACTACACTGATTTCCCACCCTCATCCTAAACCCAATTTTGTGTGTTGTCTTTTCCCATCAGAATGTCCTTGAGGGTATGGACTGTATGGGTTTTTTTTGCTTCTATTTATATTCCCAGAATTTAGCACAGTGTCTGGCACATAGTAAGTGCTTTATAAATGATTACTGAGTGACTGATTGAATAAATATTTACTAAACTCTTGATGCAATGGGCCTAGGACTGTACCAGGTGCTATGGGAAATATAAAGTGAGTATGAACATATTTTGTATGACTGGCTTACGCTATGACTGAAGAGACAAAACCTTATGCACAAGAAATAACTATGATGCAAGGAGATGATGTACAACACAACTAAATTATACATATATGTATTATAGATACACACACATATCTTTATACATGTACATATTATTGTATAGATTGCAAGAACAAAAGGTGTTCAGAAAAGAGTAAAACGTGGGTTGTGGAGTACTTTTACAAAGGTTTCATGAAAGAGATGAACAAAGGATAATTGCTACCAGTAAGTATGATGTATTTGAACATTCCTTTTAAAGGTCATAATAGCTTTTGGTAGAATAGATTTTTTTTAATCAGGGTTAAGTGACTTGCCCAGGGACATACAGCTATTAAGTGTCAAGTGTCTGAGGCCGGATTTGAACTCAGGTCCTCCTGACTCCAAGGCCAGAGCTCTTATCTACTGCGTCACCTAGCTGCCCCTAGAACAGGTATTTTAAAAACATAGGGAAGATCTTTTAATTTTTATGACTGTCATCAAAAATTATTTCCTAAATACTCTTATACTGACTTATCAGTTGCCACTGAAGATGCTGAATGACATTCAGAATCCAAAAAATTCTCAACTGGCTGGACTGATAAATTAAATCTAGTAAGATGGAATTTAATAGAGACAAAATTTTCTATTTAGGTTAAAAAATCAACTTCTTAAGCATAGGACTGGGAAAGCATATTTAGACAATAGCAGATATGAAAATGATCTAGGGAGTTTGTATTAGAAATTTAGAGCTAGAAGGAACCATAGAGATTCTTAAAGTCTAATGCCTTTCAGAATGATAAAAGATTTTACTGATGAGGCCCAAGTGCTCTTTCCCTTATAAATAATTACTTTTGTGGACTGTAAGATTACCATGGTTGAGCAGTATGTCACGATAGCCCAAAAAACTAATGTAATGTAATGTTCTTACTCATGTGGTGGTTAACAAACTGGAAAATGTTACACAACTGTGCTGACTGGGTCCACTACAAATTCATGCTGTCTAATCACAATGGGGCCTTAATTGTGGCAAGGCAATTCTTTTCCTCCTCCTTAATTTATTTTTTTGGCCTACTCTCCACAGTGGCTATTCCAAACTTTCTAATTGAAGCAGATGTGTAATGCAGTAGAACAATGTACTTGGCAGTTAGGAAGACCAGAGTTCAAATCCTGCCTCAGACACTTAACTAGCTAGCTAGCTAGCTAGCTACATGATTCTGGGCAAGCGATTTTCCTTCTCAGTTTCATAAAATGAAGGAGTTAGACTCAATGGCCTCCAAGATTTCTTCCAGTTCTAAATCTATGATCCTATGATTCTCCTCCCCTTCTCTTCATCTCATAAAGCCTCAACATCATCCCCCCATCCTCTCTTCCTTCACATCATTCTCTTAAGAGTGGCCCTTTTTTCTCCTTGCCCAGGACAACCCTTGATCCCATTCCTTCTTGCCTTTTCTATCATGCTGCCTCTATGATCACCCACCCTCCTTCTCTTCCTAATCTTTAATCTTTTCCACTCTACTAGTTCTTCTGTGGTGCCTATAAACACCTCGAAATCTTCTCAATCCAAAACAAACAAAACCTCTCACCAAATCCCACTAGTTATTATCCTACATCTCTCCTCCCTTTTTTAGATAAATTCCTAGAAAAAGTTATCTAAGGTCATTGTCTCCACTTCCTCTCATCTCACTCATTTCTCAAACCTATGCAATCTGGTTTCCAATGTCATCACATTATTGCAACTATTTTCTCTAAAGTCAATCTAATCTCTCAACTAACAAATCTGCTGACCTTTTCCCAGTTCCCATTCTCCTTGACATCTCTGAAGCATTTCACAATGTTAATCATCCTTCTGGATACTCTCTTCTCTCTAATATTTATTTCATGGCATTTCTCTCTCCTGGTTCTCCTACCTGCTTAAGCCCTTCCCCTTAGTCTACTCTGCTGTATCATCATCTATATCACACCCACTAACTGCGGGTGACCCACAAAAATCTGTTCTAAGCCCTCATCTTTTTTTTCTCTATACTCTCTGGATAAACTAATTGGCTCCCATAGGGTTAATTATCACGTCTATGAAGATGACTCCTACAGCTATACATCAAGGCCTAAACTCTTTCTCCAAAGCTCATGTTGCACCATGCACTGCCTATCAGACATTTTAAACTTTATGTACCAACGACATCTTAAATGCACACGTCCGAAAAGAACTCATTCACTTTTCTCCCCAAACTAGCTTCTCTTTTGAACGTCCCTGTTATTGTTGTGGGCTGCACAATAATTTGGGTTGTCTTCTGGTCACCCAGGTTTACAAGCCTGATGTCATCCTTGACTCTTCCATTCTCACTCAGCCCACATATTCACTCAGTTGTCAAATTTTATCATTTCTAATGCTAAAATATTTCTTTCTTGTCTCCACTCATATAATCACAAACCTAATTCAAAGCTTTATCATCTCTCATCTAGACTGTGTCACTTTTGTGTCTTTGTATCTCTACATTTAGTATAGTGACTGGTATACAGAAGGGGCTTAATAAATGCTTGTTGATTAATTATTGATCTCCTGTCCTAAGATGTTGAATTAGAAGAAAGAGAAAATAAAACAAAATCTTTGGTAAGTAAAAAATGAAAACCCCTACTGAAACGGAAGCAATTTTAAAAGTTATTTTATACTTAGAAAGGACTAAACAAACTATGAATTGGCTTTAGAGAAGAAATAACATAGAATTTAAAGGAGGTAGATCCTAAATCATCCATGAAATAAAGATGATATTTTAAAAGCAGGTGAATTTGGTAAATTTATGATTTATGACTTGGAAGTACTTCTGTGCTATTGCAGTAAGGCAGGTGAATGGTTTAAAACATGTGCAGATACTCTATCATGCCACTTCCCTAAAGGGATCCTTTTAACCTCTATGTTACTGATACTTGAATCTTTCGAATAACACCAGGAGCAACTAAAACCTAAGATGACTATATAAATAAAAAGATACTGTTATCAATTATTAAATCTATATTCACTAGATGTGTCTTGTAGCAGATTTCATTTGCTATACATATATCAACTGTCTAACATAGTAACAATCCAAAGTAACTGCAAACTAAGTCATAATGTTCTAATTAATGTAATTCATATTTATTTTACTTGGGGTTTTCACATTCCAGTCTAAAACCTATTATAGATATCTTTCAAACCTTTACTGCTTTAAGATTAAAAAAAACAATTGGTTGATCTCTAACATGCCTTATAGAATTATTCATGTCACAAACAAGAATTAACTAATCTGTAATTCCATAAAATTAACACTACCCTGATTTATGAGGTCAAAGGAGATGATAATTTAGGTGATGAAGTTATTACCTGTCAGCAATTCTCACATTAAACTCTTAAAACTTATTTGGTTTCTAATTATTTCTATACCTTTTTTCATAAGTCAAATTATGTTTTTTTTAATCTTAGCAATTCTCTCACAAAATCAAGGGATATTAAAACTTAAAATGAATAGAATACATTCTGATACAGAATTAGTTCTTTATAATAAGAAAAAGAAACTCACTTCAATTCCAATTAAATGTATTCAAATTTTAAAACAACAGTTTAATATGACCTCCACGTGTACCATTATACTTATATTTAATTTGATTGCTACCCGTGGCACTTCAAAAGTGAGTATAATTGCTGCCAACTAGGAAATATTAAAATTAAATTTGTTATGCTTTAACTATGTCCATTGTCATCTTTTACTGATTTAACAGGAAGGCACTAAAAGGTCTACAGCCTGTGCAATGAAGAGGCAGTAGTGTTCAATCAGACAAGTCCCATATTGAGTATCAGATACCACAGACCCAGGACTGAAATCACTGTGTCTAGACTCTCTGGCACCTGACTTCACTTATTTACCAGTGACCAGAGGCCAACCCCCACCGCTCGCTGTATTCACACACACCTCTGCACACATCTCCCCCGCCCCTCCCCTCCAACCCCCTGCCCAAACATCTTTGAATGATTATGCCAGAACTTTGCATGCCTCAGGAATCTCTCCTGACTGGCTACTCCCTAACTCTGCTGTTTGAAGTGATGCTCTGGTTTCTGAACTTCGGCAGATAATGGCAGGCAGGAGCAAAGGGTGCTGTCAGAAAGGACGTTTACCAGTATTCAGCTAAAAAGGAGCATGTAGATCAAAGAGGGGCCCAATAGGACAACTGTGGTGGAAAACATGTGGGTAGCTATGGAGATCCTAGCATACTGTTCTGTGGTAAAATATTAAATAACACCATGACATCATTACCTAACCATGTACTTTGATTGGTCATTCCATTACTAATAAATACTTTTTATAAGCATCTGGATGGCATTTGCACCTATTTAAACAAAACATGCATTTTAGAGGTCTAAATAACAATGAACTGTTAATACCTATTTTTAACTGTTACTAGAATACAACCATTAACTCCTGACTTCCACAAGGATACTTACCTGAGATAATCCACCCATCAAGACTATTAAAAAGCAAAAGAATCTATGACCTGACTAAAATGGACCAGCACAAAGGTCAAGTAGAGATAAAGACAGCACATCAGAAATAATCTGACACAGGGAAGGTAATATAATTGTGAGTGTAGTGTGTGTATGAGCAACAGTGGTCAAAATCACTGCCTCTAGATATTCAGTTCTTTATAACAATGAATCTTACATTTGTAAGATTTATCCATTCATTCAATGACCATTTACTAAATGAGTACCATGTCCAAACCACTGTGCTTGGCAGAGGGGGAAATAGCTCCCCTGCCTATTTATTTAACAACAGAGGGGAAAAAAAACAGTTTTAAATTGGAAAATGAATGAAGCCTAAAATAAAGAGATAGCAAGATGTCCTTAACTATCTTTGCCAATTTATTTGTTATTTAGGAAAACATTCATACTGATTTCCTGTTTTATTATTGTTATGACCTATTTATGCTTCCTACCTATATATATATGTGTCCCTTGTTTCTTACCTAAAACTGCTGGGTACAATTTCAAAGAGAACAAACATTCTATTAAACCCTATGAAATTCCAAACATCAGATATGGCTTTAATAAGTGAGTTAACTGTTTGTGGTCACAGACCAGTTTAAAGCTTTACTAGCACTGTAAACATTGCTTTGAACAGCCAGTGTCTGCTGCTCTGAATAGAATGTTAGTTACAGCTCAGTGAATGATTAGTGAAGTCAGAGGAATCATAGATCTAACTGAAATTTCCATGGTTCTTTTATATTGCAATAAATTTGGCACTGGGTAGTTATAAACCATGTCAACATTTCCCTTAAGTGTGCCATAATTGAGCCCTGAAGTGAAGTTGTAGGTGGGCATCATTGCAGTAAGAAACATAGTCTACTGTATACATTTCTCAGGAAACTGCCTCCTTCCTATTAGCAAAACCAAGGAGAAGGATGTTTACGATAGACTTTGGTAATATAACTTTGCTGTTCCCATAAAAACTCAATGTTCAAAAAGAAAAAAATTCTTGGCCTTTTGGAAAAGTTTGAGGAAATTTTAATCAAGAAACACAAAACATAAATGTTCTGAAAACTTTCGATGGTAAATTCCCATTACAGTCATGTTTGATCTTAGAACATTTGTCAAGAAAGCACAAGAGGTGGTAAAGTTCTTAAAAAGATAAGAAGCACTCTCTCTCTCTCTCTCTCTCCCCCTCCATATATATGTGTGTGTATATATATATATATATATATATACACACATACACATATATATACACACAAGAATATATACATGTGTGTATATACATATATGTGTATATATGTGTGTGTGTATATATACATATATATACATATACATATATATGTATGAGGCTTTGAACTCCAGGATCAATATTAACAATATCTCAAAAGATACACTAACACAGTAGTTTTAACATGTTCATATTTCTACATTCTTTTCCTTTTTAATAAAATTTCATGTTTGAATCTTTGGTTAGGCCTATAATTCTGAAAAAGGGGTTATAATTTATAAAGTCAGAAAGAGAATTTGCTATCCCTATCTACTTTGCATTTCTCTTTTATTGACCCTAATTATGCTGTGACTTTAGGCTGTATAAGACCTGTCAATCTAGATGAGGGCATTATTCTGGGTTGGCTGGTTTCCAGCTCATATCCTGTAGTTCATGAAGTCTGGGCACAAAACAGGATTAGAAAAGAAGCCCCCTTTGAAACTGCAAAGCAGAGGCCTTCAGGACACTTGGAGCAGGAGGGCAGTAAATCACCTGGAATCCCCCTTTGACAGGGCTACTCTTTTATTGAAAACTTGTTTTGACAAGGGGCTTGATGACACAGAGCACTGGCCATAAGCTGACACACAGCATTTTGATGAAAACGTCTGTCTGTTAAGATTTGTTGCATATTCTTTTGAAAGAGATCTATTTTCCACAAACAGCTATAATTAGGTTGCGTCTTGGAATAAAGGCCTAATGGTTTGTGAAATTTTCAGTTGTGTTCACCTTTTTTTTTTAACTTCCTGCAGGTGTAGCTTTAGTTCACTGATAGGAAACACAATTACATTAAAACTTAATTTGGATGAGAAGGGTACTTGTTTAAATTAGTGAAAAGACAACATTTTTTAAAAGTTTATTTCTTTCAAGGGCTTGCTATGTAGTAACTCCAATTAAACTAACAGAATATCTGGTAAAAATTTGTAGGAAACTTAAGAAGGATTTTATTAACATATCACCTGAGAGTGGAAAGAGTTCTAGGTTTAGATAAAACCGGGTTCTAATCTATTTTGCTCTACTACTTAGTAGGACATCAAATCTTGCCAAAATAAATCATGTCCTTCAGAACACAGCCAAACGAAGCTACTATTTAATGCAAAATAAAAATTTTGCTTCACTCCATCAATAATAGCCAGAATATTTTTGGTAGAACATGGAGAAGAAGGCCCCAGGATGAGAAGGTATGATAGATTGAAAACTGTACCACTGGAGAACCTAAGTTCCATGAAGGTAGGAACTATTTAACTTTTGTCTTTATCCCTAGCTCTTGGTAGAATGCATTGTACATATTAAGTACTTAATAAATGTAGATTGATTTACTGATGGAGAGATGAGATCATGGACTGTCTTTATGACTGTTTGACAATTCCTGAAGCACTGTCAAGATGCCCATAGAAAACCTAGGACCTGACTACTGACCCAAGATCGTTAAGTGTCACCGAAGGTCAGAGTTGGAAACCTTAATTCCACAGCTACTTATTATAGGATATAGAGCCAGAAAGGGCTTTAGAAGACATTCAGTCAGCCAGGATCAAGGACTGGACATCTGCTCTGTTGCCCCTCCTGTGCCACAATGGCTGACCACACTCCTGACCCATGCCCCTTCCCCACCATGATGGAGGAGAAAACTCAAAATTGGTATAAATCTTGGAAAAAACTGATCTGGTCATGGGTGAGAGTACCTCAACATTATCACTGGGTAGAGAGAGCAAGGACTAGTCCTCAGTCCTACCACTGGTGTGCCAAATCCTTTGGCCTTCCTACCTTTTCTAAGCACTACCCTCTGTTCCCTCACACCCATTCCCGTAAGCTTCATCCCTCTGGTTGCCCACTCTGCCATCCTTTCTCTTGCCCCCTCCCAGTGCAGTTGTAATCTGGTTTTGGAGTTAACAAAGCACTTCTTATGCCGGGCTTGTGCTTCTCTGCCCTAGAAATTACTTTGTATTTACTTATACGGACATATCGTTCCATTACCCACCAAGAGAATGTTAACTCCTTGAGGGTTAGGGCTGTTTTACTGTGTCTTCATATCCTCAATCTTAAAATAGTAGGTAGTATATCCTAAGTGCTTAATAAATGCTTGCTGACTTGGCTGGGTGACCTGAGATGAATAGGTAGGAAATCTTTCAGTCATTCTATACCACATACACACCAGCCCATCTCTTGCCTCCTCTGCAAGGGTAATCCCTTGAATCTCAAATGCATTTAGTCATCACCTCGACCACTTGGCACCCTTAACTTTGTTCCAGACAGCTCAGGCACTACCACCAATGGGGTCTTTGCTTTTCCTCTCATTTGTTCATATTCTCTTGCTTGAAGTCAGATAGCATTGTTTTCTATGTATTTTGAATTTACTTGTATATATAGGCATCCCAAGAGAATGGAGGCTCCTTGAGGACAGGTCACAACCATTTGTATCTTTGCATATACATAACTATTTAATAAATGTTTGTTGAACTGAAACGATTCATTTAAGTATCAAAGTATAAAAGAAGTATATAAAGCATATATAAAAATATAAAGAAGAAAAGAGGATTGGCAAGGAAGGTGCAGGGGAAGAAAAGTAAGAAAAACAGACATCTTACAAATTTTTCTTAAAAAAGAAATACCTACCTGTGGTATACAATCAGTATATGCAAACATTGACTTAAATCGGTCATCCATGCTTATGTGGTAGAGAACACACATTGCTATTTGCTTGTAATTTTCATTTCCTGAAATGACAAATCACATATGATGACATTTTTAGTAAATGATCCACAAATACAAACATACAAAGAATGTGTTTAAATTCGTAAATGTTTACCCAATATTAACAATCTGACAAATTTTAAATTCTCTACTTTAATTATTTTCAAATGACAATCAGAAGGCTTGAATCACATTCAAGCTATCTTTGAAAGACAGTAAGATCCTCAAAAGTGAAAGTGTTTTAATTGAAGTGAGTATCTGAAGAAAAGAACTTTCAGAAAAAAATAATAAAACCATAATTATGAACAGTTGCTACTTTCTTATAGTGTATAATATAAGGCCAGGACATTTTATAATTTTCCTTTACTGACTTCACCATTGTATGTGGCTAACAATATACAGACTAAGCAAATTCTTTCCTTCACTATTAGTATTAATATATAATATATTAATTTTAAAACTATATTTATCATATAGGAATAACTACAAAAAACAAAACACATTGTCCAATTAAATAACACCTTCCAAGTACAAAGGACACTGTATTTAGAGTCAGAAGAGCTGGATTTAAACCTAGCTCTGGAGTTCATTGCCTTTGGGCCAGTAACTAAACTTGTCTGAGCTTCAACTTCCTCATCTATAAAAATAAGGGGCTTGAATTAGAGGAGCTCTAAAATCTTCTTCCAACTCTAAATGTATAGAAAACTTTTACTTAAAAAACACCCCCTGAAGTCAGTGGCAAAGCTAGATGGATAGAACACTTTTCTAATAAAATATTTATTCTTAAGATCATTGTAGATTTTAAACGGAGCATGGGGCAGCAGATTTGGAGAAGTCCCTGTGTTTGTATCCTGGCTCTGCTCGGCAAGTCACATGATTATAGGATTATAGATTTACAGCTGAAAGGACCTAAAGAGTCACCTCACCTAACCCAATCATTTCACAGATGAAACCGAGGCCCAAAGAGAAGTGTCTTGCCCAGATCACACTGGTAGAGCTGATTTATTTAATCTATTTATTCCCTACTTTGTAAAATGAGAGGACTGAACTAGATATTCTCTAAACTTCTAACTCATTGTCTTCCTCTCCTCCTCAACTCCTGCCCTTAAAAAGGGGGACTTCAGTGTCCATACTGATGATGTCTCAAACTCTCAAACTTCCCAGTTCCTCACACAAGGATGGTCAGATCCTGGATCTTACCATTACCCATAAATGTTCTACTTCTTCAATCGAAACAACTGACCTCACTCTGAACATGACTCTCTCACTAGGCCTCACTGCTCCTAAATACATTCTTCACCCTCCTTCATGGAGACATCTTCTCACTCCGCCCATTTTGGCAATTCATCTCCTTACTGTCATCAATCTTTGAATGCTTCTCCCCACCCAGCCCAGCAAAAACTTCAGTTCTGGATTACTCCTACCATCCGACTCCTCAATTATAATTCATGTGTTGCTGACCAGAGCTGGAGGAAGTCACAAACTGCTCTCAGGTACATTACAAATTCATGTCATCCAAGTGAAACTGAGTCACATTGCAAGGCAAATCTCTTATTCCTCTTAAATTGATTCCCTATTTCACCCCCACAGAAACTATTCTGAACTTTTTCTTTTTTTCCTCAAAACTCCAACACTTTCCATCCTTCCCTTTCTCTTAGTTAAGGATCTTGCCTCTTAATTTACAGCCTCTTCTCCTCATCCAGCCCCTTGAGATTATCTCTCATTCTCCAATCCTGTTCCCCAGTCTGATAATGAGGTGGTCCTTGTTGCCAAGGTAAAACCTTTATATGTGACCTCAATCCCATCACTTTCCTTCTCCAGCCAGGTGTATCATTGACTATTTGCCTTTCTCTAATCTTCAATCTTTTCCTATCTACTATTTCCTTTACCACTGCCCTCAAGTAAGCAAGTATCTGTTTCATTCTTAAAAGACCTTCACTAAATCCTGCCATCTTTTTTAAAGTTATCATCCTGTAACTCTCTTCTCTTTCTTAGCCAAACTCCTGGGGGGCAAGGTGGCAACAGTTTACGTTCTTTGTTTCCACTTTCTCTCCTCTGTCATTCTTCAACCCTCCACAATCTGGCTTTCAACATTATCACTCAACTGGAAGAGCTCTTTTCAGTTACCACCAATTTTAATTGCCAAATCTAATTGTATTTTCTAAACTCTCATCGATCTTAACTTATCTGCTGCCTTTAATTCACTCTCTCCTCCAGAGCCATCTGGGTCCAGTGGCAAGAAATAGATCGGAACAACCGGAGATGGCCCCAGATGCAGTGGAAACCTTGGCCTTTTAAGTTAAGGTTTTTCCCAGGTCTCAGTTTGACTGAGGCAGTGATCATTCAGTGATTAAAGGTAGGTAAGAAATGAGGCAAAGAATGACCTCTTTTACCTAGTCCAAATATATTTATCTCAATCTGGGAGGGGAAGACCCTCAGGGTTTTTGGCCATAACAGAAACAATTGCTATTTACACTCAATCTAAGCCATCAGGGCCCAAACAACGACCAAGTGAGGCTTGGGCTGTGACTTATTGTTGATCAATCAACGAGAGCCAGAGTGATTTGAGTTTAAGGCATGGTCCTAAGAAAGAAATCTAGCCTGTAAACCCCAAGATATCTTGCAAGGTTGCAGTGATCAAAACTTATATTCCTTTAGGCAGAGCACCCATAGGTAAGGGTATATGATACCCTCTGTGGACAGAGAGAAAGAGGAAAGGAAAGGGAAAGAAAGGAAGGAGGGAAGGAAGGAGTTGGAGAGAGTGAGGCTGGTGACTTTACACAGCTTCCAGCTCACTTGCAAGTCATGACATCACCTTCCTGATGTCATGGTCCTCTTTGAGAATGAAGGACAAACAATGACCTGTGAGTAGTAATAGGTGCCCCACTGGGGACTCAATGGGCCAGTTCCAGTTGGGTAATGCAGCTTGCTCCCTTCCTCCTTCCTTCTTTCCTTCCTCCCTTCCTTCTTTTCCCTCTGTCCACAACGGGTATCATACCCTTATCTGCAGGTGCTCTGCCCAAAGGAATGTAAATTTTGCTCACTGAAACCTGGCAAGATATCTTGGGGTTTAGGGCTAGATTTCCTTCTTAAGGACCATGCCTTAAACCCAAATCATTCTGGCTCTCATTAATTGGTCAACAATAAGTCCCAGTCCATGCCTCAGTTGGTCACTGTTTAGACCCAGATGGTTCAGAGTGAATGTAAATAGCAATTATTTCTGTTTTGGTCAGAAACCCTGAGGGTCTTCCCCTTCCAGATTAATTTTTTTTCTGGACTTGGTAAAAGAGGCCATCATGTGCCTCATTTCTTAGCTAGCCTTAATCATTGAATGGGTATTACCTCAGTCAAACTGAGATCTTGGAAAGACCTTAACTTAAAAAGGCCAAGATTTCCGACTTGCATCCAGGACCATCTCCAGTTGTCTTGATCTACATCTTGCCACTGGATCCAGATGGCTCTAGAGGAGAAGGTGAGGTGACTGCACAGCCCTCCATCACCTAAATCCAATTCACTTGTAAGTTATGGCATCACCTTCTTGATGTCATGGTCCTCTCTGAGAACAAAGGACAAAAACAACAGCTGCCTCTGATACTGTTATTATGGTTTTTTTGTGACACTATGCTCTCCTGATTCACCATCTACTGTTTAAATGCTCCTCCTACATCTCCTTTGCTGGCTCATCATCCATATCCTGTCCTCTAGGGGTAAGTATTCTTCAAAGTTCTGTCTTTGGCCCTCTTTTCTTCTTTCTCTCTATTTTCTCAGGGACCTCATTAACTTCCATGAGTTTAATTATCATCTCTATGCAAATGATTCCCAGATCCATCCATCCATCTATGTATCTATCTATCATCTATTTGTCTGTCTATATCCAGTTTTCCCCTTGAGCTTTAGTTGTGCATCATCAATTACCAACTAAACATTTCAAAACTGGATGTTGTCCTGGAGACATATCAAACTCCACATGTTCAAAACAGAATTCTCCTTTCATCCCCATTCCCCTAAACCCACTCCTCTTCCAAATTTCTTTATTTCAGTTGAAGGCTCTCCTAAAGCCTCCATTTTGAGAAAGGGCCCAGACCAGCCAGCCTTCATTCTCCAGACTTCACCACCATGACTCAGTTGCTTTCTCCCTCTTCCCCTGAGACTTCATCTCCCACTGGTGAATTCCTCCCCAAAATCAATTTCAAGGAAGAGCTCAGACCAGTCTCCTTCATTTTCTGGATTTTAACCCCAGACCTCCTTAGGGATATCTCTCTCTCCTCCCCAATCCATCCCTGCCCCACTTTTTCAACTCCCTTTTAAGTGCTACCTTTCTCCATTAGAATGTTAAGCTCCCTGAAAGCAGGGATGTCTTTCTTTTTGCTTACATTTTTATCTCCAGTGATTAGCACTGTAAATGTTTAATAAATGCTTGTTGACTTGAAGGCATCACCATTCTTCCAGAGTAATAGATCACTATTATCTTTGACCCCTCCCTCACACATAAACAATTAATTATTGCTGTTTTTACTTAAACCTGACCCCTCCCTTACAATTACACAGCTAGTAGCCTTGTTCAGGCCTTCATCACACATCTTGTCTAGATTACTGCAATGGCCTAACTGGTCTTCCCTCCTCAAATCTTTCCTTTCTCCAGTTTATCCTACACACTGCTGCCAGAATGATTTTCCTTAAGCATATATCTGACCATACCTCTCCCTTACTCAATAAACTCCAATGGTTCCCTACTGACTCTAGGATAAAATATAAACTCCTCTGTTTAGTTTTTGAAGCCCTTTACAACCTGGCTCCAACTGTCTTTCCAGCTTCACTGTACAATCCTCCCCCACCTCTGGAAGCCTGTGATACATCCCAACTAGCTTCCTCTCTGATCCTCATGCATTTGTTGCATCTGCACCTTTAACCATCCTTCATTTGTGGAAGACACCTCCTCATGACTGCTCCACACAATTCCACTTCATGACAAAATCCGAGGATCACTTTCTATAAAAAGCCTTCTGACACTTCCCAAACTACT